GAACTAGAAAAGAAATGCAGGAAACTATTATTGTACAGTACAGTATATGGTAACTGCAGCAAGATTATCGAATGCACAAGAATGAGTTCCAGTTCTAATAACTTCCAAAGTTGCCCTTTGGGGAAACTGATCTGCAGGCAAAAGCATCCCAGACTGTAATCTGATTGCACCATTTTTGAAGATAACCTTCATCTTACATCTTACTTTGAGACTTTCGTAATTTCAGCAGCTTAGTTCCTCTGTTAAAAAAATATTATTTTTCCACATGGAGGCAGCATCTGCAGAATGTTCTTTACTAATTCCACTCCTCAGCTGTTTTGCAAATTGACTTATCTTTACAGCCCTGTGAAAAATGCAGCCTGAGTCTCAGTTGCAGTGGTGTGGCTACTGCAGGATAGAGTGTTGCAATATCCATAATTTTTACCATTTTCAGAATTATTGCCAGCTAGTTTTTGTATGTCTTGTGGGCAGCTTATATTGAAATTTTAAATTCATTTTCTCACTGGTCAAAGTTGAGAACTCACTATGGTTCAAGGAAGAATGTGGAAAATAGTTTTTTAGAGACCAACCAGATATGAAACAAATGCCTAATTGCAACACATATCCGTCTCTTACAAATTTATTAATAGCATAAGTGAGCAGAGGCAGTTGTTGACGGGGCTGCAGCATGTAGGAAGAGAGGCTGTGAACTTAATCACATTGCATTCCACCTTAAGGTTCAGAGAACTTTGAAGAAAAAAATGCAATTGCCACTATTTTATTTTGTGGTTAAAAAAAGCTTGCCTGGTGGCAACCTCAGGTGATTTTGATGGTACAATCTCTCATGAATATCTGTGTAACACTAGTAATGCCTTGTTTTACACAAGGAGAGAAAAATATACAATTTCTTGGAGCTTACAAAGCACATCAGATAGATCAGTGATGGCGAACCTTTTAGAGACCGAGTGCCCAAACTGCAACCCAAAACCCACTTATTTTTCACAAAGTGCCAGGGCTGCATCAGCATTGTGGTGCCCTCGGGGGGTGGCGGACAGGGAGGCGCCTCTGAGTGCCACCTCTGGCACGCAAAACCCGGGGGCACAAAAATGGTCCACCATGCTGCAAGGCGCAAAAACGGCCGCCGACCACGCCGCGGGGTGCAGGGACAAGGCGCTGCACCACACAAGAATGGGGCAGGGCTAGTGAGTATCATGCAGGCACTAACGCTGCCCCATTTGCAGTGCGTGCGTGCTTGCAGCCCCGTGCGCGCATGCACGCATGTAAAATGCTTCCCCCTCCCTTTTCTTCCAGTCCGCCAATCGACAATGGTTGGTGACCTCTGCTCTACCACCTTCACTTGAGCTTGCTAGTTGGAAGCTTCGCCTCCTTTGTGCTGGACGGGGCTCCTGCTCTGGGTGGCAGTGGCGGCCTGATGGACCTGCTGCTGGCAGCGGTGGCGCATGTGCCAACAGAGAGGGCTCTGAGTGCTGCCTCTGGCACGCGTGCCATAGGTTCGCCACCACTGAGATAGATGATTCTCGGCAATTGACCATTCAGCTGACTCTGAGCTTGGAGAAGGCCCTCATCTTCTATTTTGTAACAATACTCCATATCCTGTCATGTTTTTAATGTATTATATTTTATAATTATTTGAGCTAGAAATGTTTTTTATTAAAATGAGCCTTTTCTAATGCATTGCAAATTGTTTTGAATTAGTTGAATTTTATTTACTTATATATTATTGTTATATATTTATTTATTTATATCCCATCTTATTTTTACAAATAATTCAAGGCAATGAACTTACTTTTCCTATTTTCCCCACAACAACCACTATGTGAGGTAGATTGGGCTGAGAGGAAGTGAGTGGCCCAAAGATACCCAGCTGGCTTTCATGGTTAAGGTGGGACTTGAACTCATGGTCTCCCACTTTCTAGTCTGGTGCCTTAACCACTAGACCAAACTGGTTCCCCTATATGCCTGCTTTGGACATGTTTTCATCCAGGAAGTTACATGAAAAAAAAAATACCCACATTTGGAGAGCCACTGGCTGACCCACTGCACCAAACCAAGTACAATTTACAGGTAGTCCTTGACTTACAACCGTTTGAAGTTACGACCAAACTGAAAAAAGTGGCTTATGATTAGTCCTCACACTTATGACCATAGCAGCATCTCCATGGTCATGTGATCAAAATTCGAGCATTTGGCAACTGGCATGTATTTATAATATGGTAGTTGTAGTGTCCCGGGGTCATGTGACCGTTATTTGTAACCTTCCCAGCCAGTTTCCAACAAGCAAAGTTGGGGGGGGGGGGAGAGAGAGACGGATTTGCTTAATGATGCGTGATTCACTTAACAACTTTAGGGATTCACTTAATAACTGTGACAAAAAAAAAAGATCAGAAAATGACTCACTTCACAACCGGCTTACTTAGCAACAGAAATTCTAGTCCCAATTGTGATCATAAATCAAGGACTATCTATTTTGGTAGTCCTCAACTTACAACCACAATTGAGCCTAAAAATTATGTTGCTAAGCGAGACAGTTATTAAGTGAATTTTGCCCCATTTTATGACCTTTCTCGTGACAGTTGTTAAGTGAATCACTGCAGCTGTTAAGTTAATAATATGGTTGTAAAGTGAATCTGGCTTCCCCTTTGACTTTGCTTGTCAGAAGATCATAAAAGTTGAGCCCATGATCCTGGAACACTGCATCTTGCATAAATATGAGTTGCCAAAAGCACTCGAATGTTAATCCATGGGGATGCTGCAGTAGTCATAAGTGTGAAAAATGGTCACAGGTCCCTTTGTTAGCGCTGTTGTAACTTCAAACGGTCACTAAACGAATGTTGTAAGTTGAGGACTATCTGTACATGACTTCTCGCTTTTCAACCTTTTCACCCATTGTACCACTTTTAGGATATGGCAATATCCGAGTACCACCAGTCGCCTAGCAAGGTGTCAAAAACTTGATGACCCCCCCCAAAAAAAGGAAAAAAGTGATAAAGTACAGGTAGTCCTCGACTTACAACAGTTCGCTTAGTGACTGTTCGAAGTTACAATGGCACTGAAAAAAGTGCCCCCCAAGCCACAGCCGAGCTCTTCCTCCTGTCCGAGGTTTTCATTATTGTGAGCATTTATGTTGAGGATTGGCAGCGGGGGTGGGGTGGGAGGGGTGTTTGGTTTTTATTCCCCCCCCGTCTGCTGGGTGGTTGCAGCAGGTTTTGGTCACTTCACATGACCCTGGGACACTGTGACCGTCATAAATATGAATCAGTTGCCAAGCATCTGAATGTAAATCACAAGACCCTGGAGAGGCTGCAACATTCCAGCTGATCGGCGCTTCTTCTGGGCTCAGCGGAAGCGCCAGGATCAGTGCCGAGCTCCAGCTGGAGCCTGGCGCTGATCCTGGTGCTTCCACTGAGCCCTGACAGTCATGAAGAAGTGCTGATCCTGGCGCTTCCACTGAGCCCTGACAGCCCTGCAGCTCCAGCCATCTCTCGCTCAGGCTTGTGCGGTGCTGCCACCGGTTCAGCTCATTCCCCTCCCCTGCTACCACTTTTCTAGGATGGCCGCGTACCACCCGCCAGGTGCCAATGTACCACAGGTGGTACCCGTCCCACCGGTTGAAAAGCCCTGCTCTAATACCCCAGCCCATCTGCTCCCTTCAATACTAGGAAGATGCTGGGACGAGGCCTCCTCTCGCCTACTGGATATCAGCAGCCCAGATTTTGGTAGCTCCACTTAAGACCCGCTGAGGTGATTTCTCTTCGCCCAGCGGGAGGTGTGACCCAGCGGCCGCCGCCGCCGCGGCTTCCTGCTGTTGCCCAGGTTTTCCAATTGACAACCTGGGAAGCGGCTGGCTGGACCGGGCGAGCTAAAAGCCTGATCGGCCGAGACGTCTCCAAGCCGGGGTCCTGGCTGCAGCGTGGCTCCTCCGTCCTCCTTCGCCTGCCCGGTCGCCTGGCTGGCACCCAGCCCTGCCGCCTGGTTGCGACGCGGAGGCTCCCGTGCAGTGCTGCTTCCAGCCGGCGGAGGCTGCTGTGGCGGCGGGCGGGCGGGCGGGCTGGCGAGGGAGGCGCGGCGTCGGCGCCCTCCTCTCCTCCCTTCCCCTCCCCTCCCCTCCCTCCGCTTCTCCCCGCGGCGTCCTTGTCTCGGCATAGATAAGGCTGAGCGCGCAGGCGGGAGGCAGCGTCCTCCGGGCGCGCGCTGGGAGCCACGGGGAGGAGGAGGAGCAGCCGGCCCCGGGCGGAGCTGCCCCGCTGCGGCGCACGAGGATCCGGAACAAGCTCAGCTTCCTTCTTCCCAGCTCCGGGAAAGAGCCGAAGCCCTCCGTGCCTGCTGCGCGCCGCCGCCGCCCGGCCTGCCGGCTGCTCCTGGGGAAGGAAGCCGTCCCACCCCGCCCCCGAGGTGTCTTCTCCCGCAGCCCTGGGAAGCGGCCTGGCGACGCTTGCCTTCGCTCGCCGCCTTTTCTCTGCCGCTTGGGCTGTCCCATCGCTCGCTCGCTCGCCCGGCCGGCCGCCGCTGCCCCCTTCTCCTGGCCGGGTCTTCTCCAGCTGCGGCGGCTCCAGCTCTCAGCCGGCCCCTCGGAACCGGCCCCTGCTCGGCTGTCCTTGGAGGGGAGGTCTGCCCAAGTTCAAGGCGCTCGCCTGGGAGGCAGGTTTGGGTACCCGGGTGGCTTGGTCGGCCGCCTCGGCAGGGGACCGGTTCGCCGGCTTTCGCTCGTCCCCTCGTCCCCTTTCCTCCCTCGCCCTGCAGAGACGGTCCCGAAGAAGGGCGGGCAGGAAGGCGCAGCAGCCAGGCGCCCCGTCCTAAGCTGGGCTTTCCTATTATGAGCGCTTCGCCCAGTCGAGCGCCGCTTCGGGTGGATTTCCTCGGGCTCCGTTTCGTCGGTGGCCTTCGCTGATTCCGCAGACCCCCCGCTCCCTCCCCCGTCAATGAAGCCTTGATCGCCAGGCAGGTCCTCGGAATCCACCCGCCTCTTCTCCGCCTCTGCTTTCCCGGGAACGAGGACCACCATGCCGGCGCAATGCCCGAGGAGGCCCCGCTGCTCCTTCCGCGGGTTGCCCTTCTTCCTCTTTGGCGCAGCTGCCCTGCTGGGGCTGCTGCCGGTGCTTCAGAGCTCCGGCTCCGATACCCCCATGGAGATCACTCGGCAGCCCAGCTTGGTGACCGAGGGCATCACCTCCTCTCCGCCGGTGCCCGCCGAGAGCCCCTCCGACTCCGGGCGCCCCAAGAACGTTTCCACCGACGGGCACGGCAAACATCGGAAAGTTTTCCCGGTCCTGGACTTTCAATACAAGTATGTGCACCTGCCCTTCGAGATTACGCTCTGGATCCTGCTCGCCTGCCTGATGAAGCTAGGTAGGTTGATTCTGGGGGGTCCACCAGCCCCCCCCTCTCTCTCTGTGTGTGTGTGTGTGTGTGTGTGAATTAAGAGACAAAGCTATGGTGTGTAGGAAAAGAACTTTGTTTGCTGAAGGTCTCCTTCCCAGGGCTGCTTTTCTTAAATGCCGTCTTTTCTGTAGAGCCCAACAGAAAAGCTGCCCCTCAGGGAAAGGGGGTACAGGTGGTCCTCAATTTACAACCATTCATTTAGTGACCATTGGAAGTGGCAATGGCAGGAAAAAGGGGAACCTTCCTGGCCAGCCTCTGACAAGCAAAGTCAGTGAGGGAAGCTGGAGTTGTTTGGTGACTGCATGATTCACTCAACAACTGCAGTGATTTTACTTAACAACCGTGGCCAAAACAAGGTTGGGAGCAACTCACTTTACAACTGCCTTGCTTAGCAACAAAAATTCTGGTTCCAATTGTGGTTGCAGGTTGAGGACTACCTGTATGTTCCTCCAGAGAGGCTCTGTAGCCGTATGAGGTACATGGGTGCCCAGGAAATTATGGAAGGCGGCTTCCAACAAGCTATGAGCCCTGGTGACTCAGTGGTTAGAGTGCAGTATTGCAAGCTATCTCTGCCCACAGCCTGGAGTTTGATCCTGGCGGGCTCAAGGTAGACTCAGCCTTCCATCCTTCCGAGGTCGGTAAAATGAGGACCCAGATTGTTGGGGGCAAATTGCTGACTCTGTAAACTGCTTAGAGAGGGCTGTGAAGCAGTATATAAGTAAGTCCTATTGCTAGAGAAGAGGTGCAAGGATGAACATAAAGGCAAGTTCATGTGTGCTTGAAACTCTTGTTTCTCTTGGCATGTGCTCCATATTACCTGACTTAACAGCATTAAGCTGCCCCTGGGAATGGTCAATTAAATCATGGTGCAATTACAATGCCATCTGATGTATATAAAGCAGGGGTCCCCAACCCCAGCAGCCAGTCCGCCCCTCTGTGAGATGCAGGCAGCACACAAAAGCATGCACTCTCCGGTCAGCGGAAAAACCTCTCTCCATGGAACCGGTCCCTGGTGCCCAAAAGGTTGGGGACCTCTGATAGAAAGGACAGGTGGAGCTTTGACTGCACCACCATCGTGACCCCCTGGTTGTACAAAAAGTATATTTCTGGAAAGATATCCCATTCTTTCAAGTTAACCTTGTAGCTAAGTGTATTATGTGTTGGGCAGCTTAGAGGTTACTCTGGTTTATTTTTGGAAATTTAATTGGATCAGGAATGAGACTGGTGAGCATGGGCTAAATTGTATTCCTCCACCATCTGTGTGTGATCCCCACTGGGACACAACTGAGTCTGCAGGAGAAAAGTGTGTGTTTTTCCCTAGCAGCCAAGGTATATATTTAAAATAGTTGCCCCTCCCTATAGTTATGATCTCTTTCTCCAAACAGACATCCTGCTGGCTTCTTGGCTTTGTCCATCATTCTGATTGATAGTATTGGTGTGAGAATGCAACACACCTGGAAGATACCTGGAGAAAAGATTGGCCTATTAGAATGGCTGCACAGCCTTCTGTTGAGAACCCTCTAATACAGGGGTGTCAAACTGCAGGCCGGATGTGTCACACGGAAGCCGTGCCCACCCCAGCTCCTACAAGGGGAAAATAATCGCGATAAGTCATGTGATGCAGCAAGTTTGACACCAATGCTCTAATACAAACCTATGGAAAACCAGGTGTTGTGAATTCTAGATCTAACCCTAACCCTAACCCCTGAGATCTTCATTTGACACCTTGGTCGATTAGGCTTTTTTCATTAGAGGTATGTGTAGGCAGTACTCCTGAAAAAGACAGCTCTGTAGCAGGTCCTTTGCCTGGAGAAGGCCCCATTTTTAATATCTGACATGACCAGCAGAGTCTGTTGCCCAAAATTCTGAAGTTGCTATGCTGATTCTGGCTTGACAGGCCACTGGTCTAATACAATATGAAAACTTTCTGTGTTCCTGAGAAACATGTCAGGAATATTTCTGACCAGGTTTCTTTTAGGCAAGTAATAACCTGAATTTAGGCAGCAGGGGACACTGATGAGATTTAGGAAAAAAACCATGTCCCACTTTATCTATGTTTGGATTTTATATTTGGCTTCTGAAGCTAGCTAAAATAGCTTTGCTGGTTCTCCTAATATTTATACACCAAGTCACATAAAGCCTGTTGGATTTGGGAAAGAACAGTACAACTGATATGCAAAAAATGCCCTTTTTTGTACTCCATCAAAATTTGCCTTATAAATGGAAAACTTATGCCAATATGAGTAGGCTGCAAGATGATCTTTGAACATGTTGCTTATTACTTTCAGCAGTGCCTGTTTTGTATAGCCTGAAATCTTATACATTTATTTTTCTGATTTAGACTGGACAGGTACAGTAATTAGAGGGCATACCTGCTAAAACAGAGACTGTTATTTAAGACTGAGGAGGAGAACTCTTGTGCACAATATTTTTGTTTAATAAGGAGGAAAACAGGTTCTTTCTCCTGAATGAGAACACTGCTTCTGCTGTATCATTCTTGTGCATTGACCCATCCGCAACAAAATTAAGGAACTGGCCTGTTGGGGAAGTGCTGTTGTGCAGGTTTTTAGGCAAGAACGAATATTGTGGAAGAGGCTTGTAACAAACTTTACATTCCTAAATGGAGCCTAGCAGGAGATCTCCCCTGTAGATTTATGGCTAGTTATTTTGTAATATATATTTATAAATGGAGGAAAGAAACCAGGAAACAAAATTGTGGTTAGTCTGGTCAGATTTTAAAGAGAGAGTTGAAATCTCTGCAGCTGAACTCTGCAAAGTCTGAAGTGAGCTTGCCACTTGTAAAGGAATGGTGTTATTAGGGAATTTGGCAATGCAAGTAATTGCTTTACAACAGGGGTCTTCAAACGTGGCCCTTTTATGACTTGTGGACTTCAACTCCCAGAATTCCTCAGGCACGCTGGCTGAGGAATTTTGGGAGTTGAAGTCCACAAGTCATAAAAGAGTCAGATTTGAAGACCCCTGCTTTACAAGAAAGAGCCCTGTTTAATCCACAGCATATCTGGATAGGACTGGGGGAAAAAAAACCTTTCTGTGAAACTCCAGAATGCTGTTACCTGTCCCCATGCAGGAAATTCCTTTTTATTTCAAGTTGGAGTCTTTCCAGCCCTATAAATCATAATAACTAGGTTTGCGTAACCTTCCAAGCCAATGTTTCTCAACCTCAGTCACTTTACGATGCATGGACTTCAACTCCCAGAATTGCTAGGGAATTCTAGAAGTTGAAATGCATACATCTTAAAGTTGCCATTTTGGGGAAAAAAACAACAACTCTGGTCTACAGTGATTTGCTTGGGTCAGAAAAACTATTGCTAAATGTATGCTGCAGGGCATTCTTTGGCCAGAATTAGCAGGCAGGCAGAGACCAAGAAAAGATTTTCTTAGGAACTATAGGTAGTTATAGGGTGGTTGTACAAATGATGTGACTTACATAATTGCCCCAGACATCCTGATGTAATAATCATATCATTTGTACAGGAGGTACATGTTGACATCATAGTTTGTTATGGACATACAAACTATGTGACTTCAGTGACACTCAGATTTCATGCTAACTATGATTTCTTGACCAAGCTAATTGGTGAGAAAACCCACTATGATTTATTAAGCCAACTACAATTCAGTGAACGTGAGCACAATATTAATTTGGTTTGTATTTGCTGGGGAATTCTGGGAGTTGAAGTCCACACATCTTAAAGTGGCTGAGATTAAGAAATGCTCTACGCTGAAGCCTAAGAAGCCACTTCATTGCATAGAAGGTTATATGAAGTTGATAGGCATCTAGATCAGTGGTTCTCAACCTTTTTAATGCCGCGACCCCAACCGGTCGTAAGTCGAGGACTAAACCGGTCGTAAGTCGAGGACTAAACCGGTCGTAAGTCGAGGACTAAACTGGTCGTAAGTCGAGGACTACCCAGCCGGTCGTAAGTCGAGGACTTTCCCTGCCCGGGAGCGCCGCGCATGCGTGGTTCCGCCCCCTGCGCCGGCCGAGGCGTAGCTGGCAAGCGGCAGAGACGGAGCAGGCCGACCACCAGCTGGCCCAGCCCAAGGGAGGTAAGGCACCTGCCGGAAAAGGGGAAAAAATTGTGGACAAAAAAAAATGGCAGATAAAAAAAATGGCGGACAGCCTTGCTTGGCGACCCCCATGAAATGGTCGATCAACCCCAAATGGGGTCCCGACCCACAGGTTGAGAACCACTGATCTAGATAGTCTGGTCCAATATGGTACACCGAGATAGAACGTCTTCCTGTGTTTCTGAGCAACCGACCTCCGATGACAAAATGTTTCTGTTGTAACTTGGAAACACCAAGGAATAATGCTGACATGCAGCACTTGAAAAGTCCCTCAAGAAAAATAAGCTAAAAGAGGATAAAAAATCAGAAGGGGGTGATCCTAATTTTGACTATTGTAGTCCTTGGGGTCTATGCCAAACAAGCTGAAGCATCCATTTCTCTGCGCTCTGGAAAAGCCGCAATTCAGTTGCAACCAAAGGAGGGATCCCAGCAGGATTTATTGATAGGATTTATATGCTTTATTGATCACCTCAGTCCTGAAGGACTCTAGTGAGTGTACGAAACAAAATAACCACAATAGCAGTATATTATAATTCAAAACAGTCATGTTTACTCATGATTAAATAATTATTTTGTAATTGCTTCTTGGCCTTTTGACTAAGGTCAAGTGTAGTACGGTATGATTCATCAACTGAATAGAGTTAAGTTCCTACAACATACTATGGTAAGTCAAGAAAATTTTAAATGGTTAACATTCACCAGGCCACACATGTTGTGCTGTTACTGATTAGGTAACCGATTTGGTCAGAAGGTTGTCTGAATACAGTCCCTGGGTAAATGAGCAGAGAACTGTAGGGTTTTTCTGCTGCTGAGTCAAAAACATTTTCCCTGCAGTATTTCAGTGCTGTTTATTGATGGTCAGCCTTGGACTTAAA